CCGTTATTGAGAACATTTTCTGATAGGTAATTTTAGTAATACATTTATGTTTTTCTTTTCATGCTGTTTTTAGATATGTAGTAGAATTTATGGTCTTCCCATAACTATGGGATTACCAAATAATCTGTATTCTATTCTAAAACAAGATAAAAGCCGTGGGTGGTAGTCTAACTTATTTTTCATATTTACCTGCTCTCATAATTATTTGCTTTTAGAAATAATTTATAAAAATGCTATAGGCATATGTTTTATGTTAGTGTTAATAATCCTACTTGCGATAATAGACAGTTCTTATAGTTTAGTTTCCTCAGACGAGAGCTGAAGTCTTGAAGCTTAGAGTGAAAATTTCATTTAGTTATGCGATTGAATTTACTTATATTGCCATGATCCGATAATCAAGAAAGTACCAAACATCATACCTTACAAATTTATCTGTATACTGTTGTATTCTTTTTTGTATCCTTAAGCTATTTTTTTTTTTAAATATCAAATGGAAATGTGAGCGCAGAAATGTTGCCAAAGTTGATTTTAACATTCTAAATCCACAATCAAGAGCTGCATGTCGCGGAGTCGTTATCACAGTTAGCAGAATTCATTTTTCAATAATTCCGAATTGATTTTAGTTTGTTGTTCGCGGTACGTACTTGGCGTGCGTGCACATAAAACAGCAATACCATCTAAATATGGTACGTTCATACTATAGGGACAAATTGTGCGGTTTAATTCAATCATGCCGGGCTATGATAGAGATCGCTATCGTGATAGATGATATTACGGGCGGTTTTGACTTGTGGATAAATCTGGACTCGCAGTTGGCTTTATACGTAGGCCGTCTAAATAAAGTAAGTTATAATCGCGAGATATCTTTGTTATGTGCCAAGGAAAACCAAATGATTACTTCTCCATAGATAATGTAGATGCATAGATTGCATTAACATACGTAATTTTAACATTCAAAATCCTCTTTTTGTATGTATGTTATGTCAAGTATGGGACATATAATTATTCGTTACAACGAGTATTGCAATGCGTTCATAAATTATGTAGAACAGTCTAGAATCCTTCATAGGCATGTGTTCAACTCAATGATGTCAGGAGAAATGGTACAGTGAAATATTCATTTTCTATTGATAATTGAATAATAATAATTGACATTAGAATATATTAGAAATTACTGTGGTAGTTCCACGCAACATCATTTGCTGTTGTACTCACGGGCAGGCACGTCCGGGGAAGAAACACGGCCTCACAGAAGACCGGCCAGAAGTGCAAATATTAAACTTTCGTGATTCGTCTGGTGAGTGAGGTAATCGGGACCCACATTCTTAAAGGTTGTCAACGCATCTGCAAGCCATTAAGTGTTGCAGATGTCCATGGGCGGCGATATTCACTTAACATCAGGTGAACCGCCTGCTCGCTTGACACCTTTTCACATAAAAAAGGTACGTAGGAATCAAGGACGTAACTCACACCACTGAGAAGTGTCATCGTTGTATATATTCTAGTTGCCAGCCAGTAAATGCTCTTTAAAAAGCGTTATAAAATCCGTTCGAAACTAGAATTCGTTCGGCCGTACCAAAACGCGGTATCCTATGAGATTGCTATCAATTATGGAATGACCATAAATTGAATACGCTAAGAACTTTGCGGTTACGAAATTCCGCACGCCCGATCCATCGGCCGATACGAGCGTTAACGTCGCCGGCCATAAATTACCGGCCGTTTTTGCTTTAATAACTTAATGGTGGTGCGCGGCGTTAAAAGGGATTTTTGAATACTCGAACGATGGATTTATATCTGAGCCTAGCCAAGCCAACTGGTCTCTAATGGAAATACATGATTTACCTCATAATGAGCCTGATATATTTACATCAGGTTCATTGTTAAGGTATTCATATAATTTATAAACTTTTATTTATAAATTATCTATGGATTTTTGAATACTCGAAAGATTATGTCTGAGCCTAGACAAGGCGGAGGGTATCCATTGGAAATACATGTATGACTTCATAATGAACGTAATATCTTTACACCAGGCTCATTGTTAAGGTATTTACCATATACTTTTATAAATTATCTATGTGATCCGAATTTAGGAAATCTTTCTAATTTCCTTTGAATCATGTGATGGAGCTTAAATTAATTGAAATAATTTCTTTTCAATCACAATGGTGTTTGTACTGCATGTAAAAAATCTAATCGAGATTGTGCGTATATGGCAACTTTTACTGCATGTAAAAAATCTAATCGAGATTGTGCGTATATAGCATCTGTATTGCGAACTCTTCTGCTGAATGCAAGACAATCATTGTTCTTTGACAACGTGGCGATTCGATAACGTCACTTAACTTCGTCTTCGTCCTATTGTTTGAATCTATGACCTATGACTACATCAATGTTCATTGTTTGGCGTTGAATATCAACATCTCTCACACTGGAACTACTGGTAGCATTTATCAGGCCAATTTTTCGTAATCAATTAACCGTCCGCGAATTATCACTGTGCCCGAGTGATTTAAATTTGTTTCATTCATTTTGTTTTGTTTATCAATATTCTGTGGTTGTAACCTCTTGGAAAACTAGCCTTCCCACAAACTCGGTGGCCCCTAAAGTTTTAAAAAGTCTACGGACTGAAAGGAAAACATTTTATACATAAATTACATTGTATATTTTTATAACTAAGACGCCACCCAAGAAACTAACATAATTTGTTAATTTTTAAAGTTTTTTATAGTGCTAATCTCTGCACTTAAGATTGAACATTAAAACATGTAGAAAAAGTACGAAAAGATTGTCGCCGCTGTGGGAATCGAACCCAGGTTTGTATGCTGGAAAGGATATAACAATAGATGCGCCAAGCATTGCTTCAAATGCTAAATAACAATGTAGAAAGAAGGCGTTAAGATTTTCGTCTCTGTGGTTATCAGCCGTTTAGCTCAGTGGCTAGAGCGTCAGGCCGCGAATGCCGAAGACGTGGGTTCGATTCCCACAGCGGCGACAATCTTTTCGTACTTTTTCTACATATTTTAATAATTTGTTAACATTATTTCTCTTTTGGGCTAGGGTTGGATGTTGGCTAATGGATGATTTATTACGTGCAATGGGATCGAAGTCTGATTGACGGTCTATGTTATCCGACAGGCTTATTGTACACATAACTTTAAATGCATAAATGGTGATTTAGAAAATTACAGCATTGTATACTTTTACATCCGTTACTAGGGTCAAAAACTATTTTCTGATTAGGATCTATCTTAGGCATAACAAAAACTTTTACATTTGTGATACTATATCTATATCCCACATGCAACGCAGAAGAAACAACAATAATTAATAAAATGAAATTCAGCCCCAAACAAAAGACTAAGTAAGCCTTTTTCTTTTATGATGGTAAATAATATACCGCCTGCGCGTTTGCAGGCGATATATTATTTTTTCCGTTAATAACGTCACTACGCGTGTTGGGTTGCTGATGCGTTGCTATCTTTGATAAGAATGGGTTCGGTTTACCTCAGTCGGAAGACGAAACGTAAAAGTATACTTCCACTCGGCATCGGTCTTTTGTGCACTACTATTGATCGAAACGCCCCAGCCCATTCGAGTAGCATTCGAGTTTCTGCGTATCAGATTGAAATTAAGAAGAACGTGAAACACGTGATAGCGGATACTGTATAGAGTACTTAATTATAGATGTTACCAAGAAGAAAATCGGGATACAATATATGAAACAGTTTTATAATTTTAATCATATAGGTTTTGAAGTCTCGCCTCTATTGCTGCAGCTTTTGCATTGACTCAGTCGAAACCCGACGTAAAATCTACACCAACATAAAGCGGGCACGACAGTTGCATGTGTAATACATGCTAATCCTTTCGGGCCCGTTGTCCTAATTCCAGTCTGTCTGTCTTGTCGAACCGAACCCCACGTCTTTTCGCGCGCATTCGTTTAAGTCAATCAAAGATATTGATAGACTGCCGCTTGTTATGCAAACTAAGAAACAGTCAACGCGATTTGCGTAAACCGCGCCGTCTGTGTACACTGACAGCCAACAGGCCCTTATATTTGACATACGTATGCGAAATATTTTTTTTAATTGTTGCAGTATTGGCTGTGTACAATGAAGCACATAATATTTAACGATCCGTTTTCGATTTTTTTTGATTGCCATCTTCTCACGTAAAAAATCAAAAGCGTTTTTTTATTTTAAAAATCTTCATAACAATGATAATTCTGTTTGTTTATTCAACAATAAAGGTTTAAAAAAACATGATATTCTACGAATTTACAAGTATTAATTTATTAAACACTAATATTCAACATATGCAACATATATATGGTTAAACATGTCGAGTCCGAAGAAGTCAATCGTGTTTGTTTTCTTAAAACTGCTACAAAGTAACTTTATTTTGTAACGTAGGTAATGCGTATTGAACGGTTTCTGCTGCGGAAAAAAGTTTTCCACAATGCGAACGCCCGTGGCGGTGCGTTTCAACAACACAAGAAGGTTGCGTTTCGCACGCGGACCGAATACATAATATCCGCACGTTCGGCAACGGACATTAAAAACACTAAAAACGGCATCGCGATAAGCGGACGACCATCCGATACCAGTTTTACAATGCGACATTTCGCCATAAGCATTAATTTGGCACCGCACAATAATTTGACAATGTTTATTTACAACGTTCGCGCCTCTTCAACGCCACCGTGCCGAGATTGACTCATTTTATTGCGACGGTTCGGGCTGAATGTTTAAAAAAATACTGGGCGTGCATTGCGTGCTGTGCGGCACCTTCACACGTAAAAGTTATCATAAAGATCTCTTTCGATTAAGTGAAACCGGGCCTCATCGAAATCAACACCGTGACCTAATAGCAGGTGTTTTAAAAAGTCCGTTTGGACCAGTGACCGTAAAGATATATACAAATCGAGTGGAGGCCTCATGCGGGGTTGTAAGTAGTGCTCCAATCGATGCGGGTAGGACGCTGACACGTCACGGATGCGGGCGACGAAGATGACGTCATACAGGAGCGTCACGCCGCCAATGTCGCGGGCGTCGTCCAGCGAACTGATGTCTCCGGATCTGTCGCGACAAAGGACCCAGTCGCCGGACTTCGCGCGACACCGGACCCAGTCGCCGGACTTCTCGCGGCATCGGACCCAGTCGCCCGACCTGTCGCTCGACTTCGCGCGGCACCGGACCCAGTCGCCAGACCTGTCGCTCGACTTCTCGATTCATCGGCCCCTCTCGCCGGACGTGCTGGAGCGGACCCTGTCGCCCGACTTCCCGAGGAGGTCCCGCTCGCCGGCGCGCCCGCGCTCCCTCATGGAGTCGCTGCTGGTCGCCAAAATGGAGGCGCTCAGCACCGGAAAGCTGGTGCGCACTGACTCGCTGGACAGCTGCAGCAGCTTCGGCTCCATGTCCTCGCTGCCGAGCGACGTGTGCCGCTGCGACGACTGCCTCTTGGGCATAGTCGACTTCTACATGCCGACGCTCGCGGACGGCAGTAAGTCGTTCAAAAAGGTACGTAAGCACCTTTGCTCAATTTATTGCGATTTTCTGCTATCGCCGTATTTTTTGTTTTCAGAATGACCAAGCGATACATTTATCGAACTTTAAGATCTGTTTGATAATTTGATAAGACGCTACGAAGTTGAAAAAAGCAGCTAATGTATATATATATATATATATATATATTATATAATACAAAATGTATGGGACTGTTGCTTTTACACGTGTGAGTTCTGAAAACTTAAATCAAGATTATGCGGAAATCTTAAATTAAATAGTGCGTGCCGCTGGTATTCAAACTCTCGATCTGAAATCGCGATACACTACGAGGACCAGCGATTAGACAACTATATTATTACAGATATTTTTAACCATAATATTACAAAGACGGCAATATATCTTGTATTCAGAACCAAAAGACCAAATGACAATTTTGATATTGAGTTCTAATTCCCATATTTTACAGCGCTTCTAGCAGAATTTTGAAAAATCCTAAGCGATACGTGGTATAAAAGGTTTGTTAAACCCAGTGCCGGATTAACCACGTAGCAAGAGCAACATTTGCTACGGGCACATTTACCCACTCATATCTGCCTGAGCCTTAATTATATGAGTGAAACTGATCATATAAGTAAGATTATACTGAATTGTTTTTTTACCAATTCATACTTAAGAATACAAAGCAATCAAGGACTGTTTGAAAGAATTTGCTACGGGCCCCGCGCTTGCTCAATCCGGCACTGGTTACACCAGTGATTTAGGCTTCCCTGATTCAGTTTTGTAATATATACCGATGATATATACTTACCCATTTTAAGTGTTTTAAGAATTCCTATAATTTTTGAACGTTTCAATTCAAATGCATCGTTAAACAAATTTTGACATGTTCTATATACTACGGGTCGCACAAATTAAATATGAGTGTGCGACCCATAGCGCCATCTAGTTCACAAGTACAAAATTAATTCGATAGCGGTTCATAACTTTCGAGGTTTGGTTGGTCAATAATTACGATCGATACAGATCAAACTAAGTGTGCTGTATTTTCAGATAGATGGCGCTCTTTACTTTTCTCTATTAATTATTATTGAAAATGATTAAAATTAAAAGCATTTTAAGCATCAAATAAATTAAAGTTTTATTAAACTCACGCACATGTTTTCTTTTAAATAAATGTAAATGAAATGACTGAATTATCTTCTAAAGGGATGATTAAGAACATATTTTTTTTTTAATATTTTAGGAGACATTTTTTACACAACGTTCTCTAGTCCCAAACTAAGCAACACTTGTACTATGGGAACTAGATAACTGATAAACATAATTAACATACTTTTTTGTAAATAAATATATATTATACCCACATATTGCATTATTACTATGGCCTATTAGCCGGGTACGATGTTTCATGTCAAATTTATAAGACGTAACGCAACGCAAAACGTTGTTTTGTCGTCACAAATTATTTCTAGGGAATTTGTGTATTTGAACACATAGAAAAATAATTTTCGGAACGCACCTATAAAATGTTAGGAAAAAGGTAGGAACAGTTTGTATGGGAAAATAAAATTGTTGCTATTTCAATTTTCCATGCAATTTTTATTAGCCTTAACTTAATTAACATCCGAAATCATTAAAAATAGTTTTGGCGTCAATTTCCTCGTGCGACAGGTTGTGTCTGTCTACTTCTAACTTGTGTTGGGATGGATGATTTAAATAAGTACTTACTTACTGTAATAGCGTAAGCGCACGTATATGTTCTTGATGCTTAAATTACACACCTAAATGTAATGCAATACAATTACAATCAGTTTGTAATGTTACAAGTTATGACAAAGGAGTTTATTTAGCCAAAGCAAGGAGTCGTCAAGGTTGAGATCGAGTTTATGTTTTTAGTTGAATGTTACTAAACATTGTCCTATTAAAACTTTGGTCAATTGTAATTGTACTGCGTAGTCTTAAAATGTATAAATACAATTGTCACAAATATTTTCTACACTTTTTAATGTGGGAAAATGCTCTATGTATCCCCTGCCACCGGATAGGGGTAGTGGCATGGTATCTCCGGTATGTGGTAGTCCCGGTCAGAAACGGATACCAGCTAAAAAACCCACGTTGCACCTGTCCCTGTCACATCGGTTGGGGACACTGGAACACGGAGACGCAATCCTCTGCGATCTCAACTCGAAATTTCTACGTTGCCAGGTTATAAAAATGCGCCTTCTGGATTAGTTTGGGAATAGAATAGAATTACATTTGGTCATCTAAAAGACGCTTTTGATTCGAGTGGTGTTTGAACATTGGTGAGGTTCGTATGATATAACTCTAGTGCATATTTGGTTGTTACAGTTAGTATGGAGTGTAGACATAAGGTATACAATCTCTGGGATTAAAAAGTGTCCTTCGAAAAGTAAGGTAACAGTGTATATATGTCCCAATGCTGGGCAAACGCCTCCTCTGTATAGAGTATAGAGGGTATTGGGGCATATATTGACGTCTTGATTTTACGCGAACATTATAGGTATTAAATGAAACTAGTTTACGGACTTTATCGCGTTTTGTAATCATGTTTTAGACAGCCCCAACCACTACATTAGATTTGATAAACCGATAATCCTCGCAAAAGAATACCGATTCCTACCAAGGATGATTCGTGAGGATATTGAAATAAATAAAAACATCCGAATTTCAATAGAGAAGGTGGTTTGGGTTTATCATCTGCAGAAAATGCTACAGATTGAAAATTAGACACGTGTAAAGGAAAGACGAATTCTATATTTACGTCAATAGATGCCAAGTTTCTAGAACATTCGTTTCATTTATGCATTCGCACCAATGCCGAGAGCGACCGATTTAACTCGATTCAAGCACCGCTTAGCGAAGCAGCCACTATGTATTGCCGTGAAGTTAATGAGACCATTTTAATGCAATCGGTATAATGAAGCAATTTCAATAGATACGGTCTATCGTATTGACGTGTATACTGCGCGGGCCACGCTCGCATTTTCAACGTCGCCTAAGCTTTAACTCTTTAACACGAAAATGGACTTAGAGCTTTGGCAGTAGGGTTTAAATTTGAACGCCACCTCGGGCTCGATTGCGTTCGGCACAATTCGTTCCTGGTGACGTCACCGGACGCGCTCTGAATGCTGAGCCGCCTCCGTGCGTCATCAATACGTCATAGAGTTCCTTTCCCTATACTTTCTATGACCGTTCGTAACCAACACTTCTCAGTTCCATATACAAAAAGAATCGGTATTAAGTAAGCCGTTTTCTTTCTAGATATCAATTCCGTTTTTTTAACAGTCCGACTAAATCTATTTATGAACTATGATTGCGAACATGTTAATGATATCTTCATCATGAATATTACAGCTCTAAATTGATCACTTTCTAAAAAAAGAACTCTAACAATTCTGTCATTGAGCATGATCATAACCTTAATCCTCTTAACCCTGTTTTATCTGGTCGAGACAAACTTTGCAAATGGATTTTAAAGTATGTAACGTCGCATTGTGCTGGTAATTTTAAATATTTTTTTATTCGTTGTAATGAGTTTTAATTTTCATTTTGTAGTCTCTACTCATGTACTCTGATGGCGCTTGTAAGCAATAATCGTTGTAAAAATTGTATATTATTATTATTATTATTTTTTGGAAAACATTTTTCTACGCTTCGGGATTCGAGCCTCCATCGTCCTATATGTCCTTCGTATATGCTTTAACCGACTAAGCTAAGTGGTCTCGGGAATTTCGTCACCTTAATATATGAGCATGATAATCTTGACATCTACATATATTAATTGATTGCATGTTTATCAATGCCAAGACTAGCACTAAAGTTTTTATAAATGTGGTAATTATATTGTTGTAATTTTTAAACTAAGAATAAAAACTTGAGAATGCCGTAGGAATAAAGTCGAAAATTTATGTGTTATTCAAATCAAACCTTGTTCCCGAATAATCCTTCAATCGTTATCCCGGATACGGAAAGATATATCTGAATTACTTTTATAAATATTCGCTGCAAATAATTAAGCTAAATCCTTACTGTTACTATGAATAGTAAATATAGCCTCTTAGTTATTTACCATGTTCTATCCGAAGGCCGGGTCGGCTTTATTGCATAGACCGAGATCAATTTATATCACAGAGAATAATAGAGAATAATAGACGTATAAGAAAATAGACAGAAAAATAAAACAAAGGACGTATAAAACCTTTATAAAGCTTCAATAACTATTTACACACTGGCATTGCTTCTGCATTAATTTCACAACAAAATAACATTGAATAATAAATTCAAATAGCAGCATCAGTTGAGGTCGATGACACTGCTGCGATAAAAACCACCGCTTAATTAAAACAATTCTCGTCGAATTTTTTTACGCAAGTAATCGTTGAAGTATTTGTTCGTGCATCAAACGATTCTTGCCTAGAGCGGTGTTTAGTACTAAACGAATTTTCAATGTTAAAAATAATGCGTATGCGTCTGTTAGCAATGAATAATGTGTGCGGGGAATGGAAAGTATTCAAGAGACGGCACGTTTCTTTTTATTGTTGCGCTTATTTCCTATTATATCTCTCTCGCTTATTTATATTATAGTACAAATAATTATAGTACAAAGGCGAACATAACTCCAAAGGCATTATCTCAGAGTTAGCCTTAGAATGGTATAGAGTACATAAGTTAAGCGCACAGAAAGATATAAAAAAAAGGAAAACGCGGAGAGTTACAAACTATATTAAATATACACATATGTTATGTCATAGCTCAGTGGAATCCTCGAGCAACTAGTTCAAATCCTGGTATTGCAGCGATGAAATTGTTAATTTTAAGTGTTGACCTATCATGTGGTGAGATATTCTGGAAGAAATGACAAAAAAAAATCAAAGATAACAATTCTGTGTTACGGTTAAGTTCACGTAGCAGCTTCTGCTGTTGTAAGAATGGGCAGGTTCGACTGGGGAAGTACCACGGTCTCACAGAAGATTGATGAGAAGTGAAGTCACTATACTTTCATTTGGTGTGTAAGATAGGAATAGGAGCTCGCTTTCTTAAGAGTTGATAATGCATCT